GTTGCCTGGAGAGGGCCGACCTGTCGTCCAGTAACATAGAAGGGGCGACTCTGTTCGGGTGCAAAATGGTTTGCGCTAATCTCGAAAACTGCAATCTTAGGGGTGAGTGGAGTGCACCCATTCCTGTAACCAACCATTGTGTACTCAATGTTGTATTATAGGCACAAATATGGAGGAACCGCACGGGAATAGGACTAATATGGAGGGCGTCAATCTGAAGGGCGCTAACTTAGAAGGCAGTCAAATGGCTGGAGTGAACCTAAGGTACAGATTCTGCGATGTATTTGTTGTGTACACCATATTAACTGTTTGTGACTTATGTCGGAAAGGGTGGCGACTCTGAAGAACGCGAATTTGCAAAACTGTGATCTTAGAGGGGCTGTACTGGCCGGCGCTGATTTAGGTATGTTTGCACCGGTAGTCGGTGACTGAGACATGTATTGACTGTACTGTTGTTTGCATAGAAAACTGTGATCTTTCTGGTTCTGACTTACATGAGGCAAACCTTCGGGGAGCGAACCTAAAAGGGGCCGCATTTGAACTAATGTTGACTCCTTTGCATATGTCTTATGTGGCCAATTGATATGCGGGTAATATTAGTGTTAATTAAATAATGTTTCATATGTTTCAATACAAAACAAAACCGATTAATAGCACATTAATTAATGATAAATTGAATGCAATTTATGTTACCTTTTGTAGTAATATCATAAATGTTCTGACTTTGTGTTTGCTTTCTATGCACTTAACCGTTAAAATGATCTTCAATTAGATATTCAATTAACTTATCATTTGATGTTCATATCTATTATCTATTAATTGTATGAATCACTCATATATCCGGTATATGTATACCAGTGCTTGAGTGCATCCAAAACCTAATGTCACACTAAATATGCGAGAAGTCATCACTTGTTATGATTCAATCGATTCTTACATTCAATTATCTCACGATCTCTCAGCCTTTCAGTCATCAAAGTTCCTAACATTCACCATAAGTCTCATGTATTTATTATTTTAATTTACAAAATTTTTATTTCTAAGGGGAAGTTGTATTTGTCATCAAATTACAACGATTCCGGGGTAATACCTTTTTTGGAATTCATGGTTTTCATTTTTTAGCTTTATTTTAAAAATGAGATTTGTTTAGTTTACATTTTATTTTATTTAAAACACTAAATGACTGAAAGGCTTGGAAATCAAAAATAATTTTATACCTAAAACTTAAACAATCAAAACCTGAAATAATTAAACATTTTAGTTATTATAAAAACAACGTATTTTTATGAACTCAAAAGTGATACCAAATTAGGTTTAAATGAAATATTGATTCTCTGCCCCAATATACTGTAATAATATATGAAATGTTACTATCGATTGAATTAGTTTTGAATCTGACTTCTGGTTTTGAATTTGAATTTTAAATGATTTGTTATGTGATACGAGTATTGACTACGGCTTTGGATTTTCTCATATTTTTATTTGTATATTAACTTATATTTAGATGTTTCCCTAAATTAAAAAGTATTTATAATTCAATTAATTTAAGTCTATTTATATGAAAGAATTTATTTATATTATATTTAGTTCTAATTTATTATTCTACTGTTTAGTCTATACAAGCATTTTGTTACCCTTTTGGTGTAAACGAAATAAGTCTTATTTGACAATTGATAGACAAATATCAAAATATTAATTATATATCTATAGTTATAATTATCTATTTATACGTGTTTTACAGACAAACATTGTTTTACTGTAATTCTAATGTATATCATATACTGTAAAGACTTTAGTACAAGACTTTATGTAATACTTTTAGATAATTTGTGCAATCAATCAATCCTTTGTAGTGAACGCATTACTATTGATTAAAACCATTTTCTAATCCTAATGTCTTTTCACTGTTTGTTTGTTTTTCTACAACAACTCTATATTGGTTTAAAAGATTTGTCAAAAATATGAACAAAACTTTTACAAACAATATTTCGCGCAAACATTACATTCAATCCAAATGAAGTGCTTTTGAATAAACAATAAATCAGTGCCAAAAACTACAAATGTTTGCTTTTTATTGTACAGTTTGTGTACGGAATTTCACTTTTTTATTAGACTTTTTCCAAATCAATATATCTTTCAATTATTTTTTTTGACGGAGTTTTACTGAATTCACTCAAGAATTTAATATAAATTCATTGAAATATTATGGTAATAAAATATTTCATTAATTATAAAGAATTGTCGCATCAAGGCAGTTATTAATGGATTTTAATTTCAAAAACAAAATTCAATGTTCGCATAACATATGAGATATTAAGCAAATTAAGGCGTCCAATATACTGGTATAGTATCCATGAATTAATTAGTTTTACAATTTATTATCTGTTCATCAGTTGATTCAAAGCGGATAAGAATCGATGTATAACTCAAAGTCAAGGTTTGAGTGAATGTATTGTGCATTACATAAGAGTTTAGTGCACTTACTCTCCAACTTTGCAATTCACTCAATGTTTGACTTTTTATTTGATAAATAATGAGATCTAGGTTTCGAAACTAACTTTCATTTTGAATAATATTTCACATTTATTGCATTTTAAGGTATTTTATTCTTTGCGTCATTAGTATGTCATTACAAATAAAACTAAAACACAACTATGTATTCATAATTATATAATCATATTCTTAAAATATGTTCATTTAATGCAATTTGTACTCTTGTGGCTAAGTATCTGATCCACAGCATCGGCCAAATTGTTGACAATTGCGTCCGGCTTTACAATCGCGTGGTTCTCATCGCTAGCCCTAAACTTCCCGGTTCTCACCAGTAGTCCCCGCATGTCTTCAATGATATGTCAAATTATAAACTCATTATAAATATAAATGCATTCATATATTACTGCTCTTCTGTGCGCCCCCGATATCACTGTTGATGTCATCGCCAATCATTACAACATCTTCTAGCTTGAGATCCATTGATTCGATGGCCGCCGAGTAGTACTCCTTCGATGGCTTTCCCATAATTATGGCTTTAGTATCACAGGCGTACTCGAGTGCGGCCGTATAGGCGCCCAAATCCAACACCAATTCGTTGCCCTCCTTATAGTATTTGCTGGAAATGAAATAAAAAATACTAATAATTAAAAACCACTTAACCCTGAAATATGCAAATTTATACCCCTTTCCCATGGAAATGAGAATAGGATTTTGTAGCCGTAATAGCAACTGAAAGGCTTTATTCATGGCTTCGTATGTGAAATGATGGGCCGCATCCCCAACGACCACACAATTGGGATCCGTTTGTTCGATGTCTTGGAATTCAGGCAACAGTTCTGCAAAATATCGCAAATGTGTGTCAATTATAATGAAGGCAGTGGTTGTGTGGAGATTTGTGAATACCCGGGTACACTAATAGTTGTGGTCTTAATTGTTGTTTGATTAGCATTTGTCTGACAGCAGGTGCCGGTGCGAACACATCCCCCACTTCCAAATCAAAGCCAAATCTCTTCAACTTCTGAACCAATGATTCGGTGGTTCTTTGAGTTTCATTTGTACAGAAACGGAAGGGAATGCCATTCTTTCGGAGTCTATTCACACAATGAGTTTTTGTTAGTTTTCAATAATTGAAACAAATGTAAAAAAATAAATTGATTTTCAGTTTAAAATGAAATGAGAAAACAAATTGCATTTCACTTTTGTATGTAAGTATGCACAATTGTTATATGGCTTAACCTGTTTTCTAAATAATTTCATATTTTATTTGTAAGAATTACTTTTTAGAAACAATTCGCTCAATGAGTTCTCAAAAGTTTTTTGTTTATTGTCTAAAATATAAAAATATAAATACTTTTGGCTTCATTTACTTCATGCGACTGAATCACTGGTAATAAATCAAAAATACTTTATTTTGGTAAATGTTAAAACCCAGACAATAAATAAATTTATATAAATTGCGATATTTTTGTGACCTTTAAGTCAAATTTAATAACAGTTTTCTGGAAATTGATGAAAAATAGGACCTATTTTTTGAGGCAAATTACATACAAACACAATAAA